CCTGAGGGAATGCGTCTCTAAAATAGAAAGACAGATAATAGCCTCCAGCATGGTTCCCCCTCCGGTGGCACCAGAGAAGCAGCGGGGGATCGGCGGGGGGTAAAAACCAAAACCCAAGCTGCTCAACACAGGAAAAGATCTGGCCTTTCAATGTACAATAAGCATTTCAGAGGCTCCCGTCTGCGTTTTCTCACCAGTACGGCCGGTGGGAACTTGTCGGACCAGAGAAACGGGAATCCCACGACTCAAAACCTTCAGCAAAACGAGGTTTAATCAGAAAACGACACATTTCTGTCCAGAGGAGGGATTTAAGTGGTTAAACCCATTTAGGGGAGAGCTTCATAAAGTATTAGGTGGTCTATTTAATACTAATCTACCAACGCACGGGGTTCGAAACGACCACCTTATTGTCCAGTGTTTTTATATCAAATACATCCGAAATAAACCGGGAATCAACAAAAAAAAAAAAGTTTTCGTTTGAAATCCATTGTCTTTTGGCCTATTTTGGACTGATTTTGACCAGTTTGGGTAGGCTTTGGACCAGTTTAGCCCCCTTTTGGACTGGTTTGTGTTTGAATTGGGTTGGTTTGTGTCAGTTTTGGACCGGTTTGGGTTTTGTTGGGTTGGTTTGGGTCAGTTTTGGTCCGGTTTACGCCTGATTTTTTCTTTTCTCGGACGGCTAAAGACGAGTGTGAAACTGTGGTTAAACCCATTTAGGGGAGAGCTTCATCAAGTATTAAGTGGTCTATTTAATTATAATCTATTTACGCACTGGGTTCGAAATTACCGCTTTATTGTCCGGAGTGAGAAAATCAAAAGCTGTTTTGATATCAAATAAATCCCAAATAAACGGGGAATCAACAAAAAAAACCAGAAAACTTTTCGTTTGAAACTCATCGCCCCGCCATGTTATCTTCTGGTCTATTTTGGACCAGTTTGGGTAGGATTTGGACCAGTTTTGGACCAGTTTAGCCCCCTTTTGGACCAGACTAAGTTTGTTTTGGTTTAGTTTACAACACAGAAACAAGAATCACTGCATTTCCCCACCCCCCGAGCAGCCAGAATTTCCAGTTTTTTCTTCGTTTTTTTTTCTTTGTCAATAGTCTCCCAGGTTTTCTAAAGGCTTTTAAGAAAAAGACTGCTGTAAATAAACCGCCCTAACAGCCATCATGCATCTTTATGGGAGCATAAACGACTCCTCAACATACGAGTTTTCCAACATACAAATTAAAATTCGATCAAATATTCAACTCGATACCCGAAGTCATAGAAATTTTTTTATTAAATATAAAAATTTAATAAAAATGAATAGGCCTAGTTAGCTAAAGTTCAGGAAGTGACAGAGTTTTATTGGCATATAAAATCCTCTTTTTATTGATTATTACTTCATGACTTATTTCTTTTTGCATCTCTCTTATATAATGCATTTGTTTTATTGCTACGTATAAACATCTGCAGTATTTATTAAGGAGTTATGGTAGGTTTTTGGAACGAATTATAGGAATTACAGTGTATTCTGATGGGAATATTAGAACCAGTATACGAATATTTTAACATACGAAGTCGGACCTGGAACCAGTTAAACTCCTCTGTAGAGATACTGTATAATCCACCAACAGTGAAGCCCTAAATCCTTTCTCAAGAAATTGACATTGTTATCTATTATCGAGAATATTGTCCCTTTTTTTGCCGACTCAGCCGTAAAAAGCTCTGCTTTTCCCCAAAGATGGTGAGTTTTTTTTTTCTCAAATTCCGACAGAAGACAACAGATTCTGCCCTCCCATAAAAACAAAATAAAACACAAAATTCTCCCAGTAAACATCCAAAGACAGATAAAGGAAAAAAGGAAAAGGACGCAGCAAGGAACACTTTGATAGCTAGAAACTGAAGTAATGAGTCTGTTGGCATGCCGATGCTTTTAGCATCTTTAGCATCTTTAGAGGCTCAGAACCATCAGGTAAAACATGTATACAACATCATTAAGTACATTAAGAGTTAGCGGGGTGGGGGGGGGCGAGTTAATGGCTGTTTCTTTGTCCAGGGAGTGTCAGAAAGTGCGTCTCATAAAGAGAAAAGCTAAAGGATGAGTGTGCTGTGGAGCAGGATGTAAAGGTCTCATAGCATTTTAAGTATTTTATTAGCTAAAATCATCTTTTTGATTTCTCAATGTGTCCTCATTTCACTTCTCGTCATAAGTGAAGAATTTCCTATCTGTTCATACAAAGGACGGAGGTTTCCATGGCGATCCGCCATTTTTAAAAACAACAATGGCAGAGAGGGACATAAAGGACTAGTCTGCCTGTCTAGCTAATCCACAACGCGTTTTCCTTCAGAGTCACGTGACTGAAACCAGCTCTAACAAAGCACGTTTATCCAGATTTAAACAGAATATATCTTTACTAATTAGCATAGTTCCTGCTAACATATCACTACTAATTAGCACAGTTCATGCTAAAATATCACTACTAATTAACACAGTTCAGGCTAACATATCACTACTAATTAGCACAGTTCATGCTAAAATATCATTACTAATTAACACAGTTCATGCTAACATATCTCTACTAATTAGCATAATTCATGCCAACATATCACTACTAATTAACATAGTTTATGCTAACATATCATTACTAATTAACATAGTTTATGCTAACATATCATTACTGATTAACACAGTTCTGCTTCTAAGTCTGTGATTCAGACGGTAACATTCGTTTGTTCGTTATGTATCGAGTGTTTAGTTAACGCTAGCTACGACATAGACTAGCAATGCTAAGCTAAAGACAAAAAAACAAGCTAACATGGTAACGTAATTCTCCATCTTGTTGGAGCAGTGATTCAGCCGTGATTCAGCCGTAATTCAGACGGTAACATTCGTTTGTTTGTTGTGTGTTGAGTTGTTAGCTAACGCTAGCTACGACATAGGCTAGCAATGCTAAGCTACAAAAATAAAAAACAAGCTAACATGGCAACGTAATTCTCCATCTTGGGACATAAAGCACTAGTCTGCCTGTGTAGCTAATCCACAACGCATTTTCCTTAAGAGTTTAGTCACTGAAAAATGCTAATAAACAAACAAGCTAACACGGCAACGTAATTCTCCATCTTGTTGGAAGAGGAATTAAATGCTCACACTGATGATTCAAAGCAGTTTGTAATTTATTTTAAATCCCAAACCTCATCACCAGAGAAAACTGGATGATGTGGAAGTTATGTTGTCATTGCATTGCTCTTCTTTTGTTTTCTTTAAACCACGTTCAAGGTTTCTGGATTCACACGTCTTGAATAAACAGAAGCTAAATTCCACCAAGGTCCCTACGAACATCTGTGGGGACACGATGAATCCAAATCTGCCCGAAAAAAATAAAATAAAGTCTTCTGACTGGGGGTTTTCCTCCAGAGAGCTGATTGTCATGTTGATAATAACCGGAACATTGTGTCTACTCTGCAAGTCGCTTTGGATAAAAGTGTCTAAATGCAGAAACATAAACATAAAAGCCCCAAAAAACAGCTTTAAAAGGCCAAAAAACAGCTTTTAAAGCCCCAAAAAACAGCTTTAAAAGGCCAAAAAACCAGCTTTTAAAGCCCCAAAAAACAGCTTCAAAAGGCCAAAAAAGCAGATTTAAAAGGCCAAAAAGCAGCTTTAAAAGCCCCCAAAACAGCTTAAAAGGCCAAAAAAACAGCTTAAAAAGCCAAAAAAACAGCTTTAAAAGCCCAAAAAACAGCTTTAAAACGCCAAAAAACAGCTTTAAAAGGCCAAAAAAGCAGCTTTAAAAGCCCCCAAAAAGCAGCTTTAAGGTCCCAAAAAACCCGGTTCACTTGTGTTTGTGTTTTTTCTTCATTACTCCTGATGTGCAGCGTGCATTAGATCAAACCTTGTTGTGTACAGCATTGCAGACACTAATGGGTCCGCACAATATTTTAAGAGAGGATTTATTGTACAGTGGAAATTGTGTTACCGCCTATCGTGTGAAAGTCTACAGATCAGAAGTCCATGCCCATAAAAAAAACTCGCTGTAGCTACGACCTGTCGTACAGCTTTAGAAGCCCCCAAAACAGCTTTAAAGCCCCGAAAATCAGTTTTAAAAGGTCCAAAAAACATATCTAAAAGCCACAACACAGCTTTAAAGCCACAAAAAACAGCTTTAGAAGCCACAAAAAAACAGCTTTAAAAGCCCCGAAAAACAGTTGTAAAAGGCCCAAAAACATTTTTAAAAGCCACGACACAGCTTTAAAGCCACAAAAAACAGCTTTAGAAGCCATAAAACAGTTTTTAAGCCCCGAAAAAACGGTTTAAAAAGGCGCCAAAAACATTTAAAAGCCACAACACAGCTTTAAAGCCCTGAAAAACACATTTAAAAGCCATAAAACATATTTAAAATCCACAACGTAGCTTTAGAAGCCACAAAAAACTGTTTTAAAAGCATCAAACTCAAGTCCCTGATGCCTACAAAGTGCTAAACACACAAACACACACTCACAGACACACACACACAGACACACACTCACAGACACACACTGTCTAAATCTAAATCTGGGCTAAACTAGCCCAGAAGTTTCGGGGTAAAGAACCCGACAAAATGACACCAGAGTCTATGCGGGATGGCGTTGCCGTGGCAACTGATGCCAAGCATTAAGATGCGAGAAAGTGGGGGGGGGGGGGGGGCTGTAAGAAGATCTGCGAGACGGGAAGGAAATACAGAAAATAATATCTGTTCTCACATGAACAACAGATGAACATCGTGGAAAATCAAAGCTACACGAACACAAATCAGATCACACACACAAAAACAAACAAACAAAAACTAAATTGAAGACGAGTCCGTGTTGCCTTCAGGGCCCAATAGAATGTGAGAAAAAAGCACTGGGATTTAAATAACATTTTGTACATTTCCACCTAATCCCAAAACCCCTGCGTCTTATTTGTATTTTTTTTATATATATAAAGAAACGAGTGTCGGTTAAATATTTTCACACTTTGGTAAATGATTATCTTTTTATTAAAAGGCTTTAAAAGCTTCTGCTTTGTTGAGTGATTTTGCTTTAACAAAGGAAAAGAACAAACAATACACACAATTAGCTTCTATGTTAAGATGTTAAACTCTGTCTTTAGGCCCCTATGAAGGAGATAAAGTGGGAACTATATAATATATAACGTATAAAAAGGAGAAGAAGTGGGAACTAGATAAGATATAACGTATATCAAGGAGAAAAAGTAAGAACTATATCATATATAACGTATATAAAGGAGAAG